AATTTACATTTAAAAACAACCTAACAGTTAAATCTTACAAAAGTAGAAAAATAGGGTCTTCCACTTTTCTGAGTTTGGGTTTTAAAGAAGACGCAAGTTGAGAGGTAGACCTGTAAAAACTAAATTTCTCATAATTTTATTCTTACATTTTAAATTAGTGAGATTTAAGATTTTTTATTACCATTTTATCTGTAAGTAAGAAAGAGTTTGTAGGCTGGTCATTTCGATGTGTAAAATGTAATTCATATATGGGTCACACTGAGAAGAAATTCAATAACGTTCGAAAACAAATAAGAGGAATAAGTTCTTCGGATGAGTGGACTTCTTAGGGGAAATTCCTCCAAACTAGGAGGAATTGGTTCCCCGCATTAGATTTCTGAATTCAGTTAAAAAGCTTTTAATCGCTGTATTATTTAATATGAAAGAATCTTCCTTTACTCTGCCCTTTTTTTTTCAATAATTAGTAAAACTACAAAATCCAATATTAGTCTAAATTTGCATAATAATTCAAATAATTTTCTCATAGCATTTAAAATTACTGTAGAACCTATTATTTAAAATTACCTATTGTTTCGGCAACAATTTTTCTCTCGCATGCAGAATTATTCTCCGTTTAAGGTTCCGAATGGCGTTTTGTAAAATTAACATTATCTGGTAGCATAGTAATGCAGTAACGATTTGTAAGTGGCTTGTATTTTTTATAGACTAGAATAGTTTTCGTTTGCTCGCATTCACAATATTTTTTCTCTTTCCTATTTAAAACGAATCGATCGAGATTTTACTGCTAACAGCAATTGCTTCATTCTAAAGTAATTACTTCATGTTAAGACTTACTTCATGTTTGAAATTGAATCAAGCAGTGGCTGATATAAATAATATTGCTTATATTAAAAGTAAATGTCTGTCAAAGAAAGAAAGTATTGGGAATCTTCTCATTGTTCTGTATTCACCCCATCTTTATCGAATATCCTATATTTACATGCACCGAAAATGAGCGGCATAGAATCTAAGATGCTGCATAAGAAAAATCTTGAAATGAATATATTTTAAAAGAAAGAAAAGGTTATTAATGGTGATTAACAATGATGGAAAACAAATTATCTTGTGTTAGTTAGCATCAAATATATGACAGATTATTATTATTTTTAGAAATTTATTTCTGCTAGTTATAAAATAATCGCATAGTTTTGTAATCCAAACGTGGATTTTGCATTAGCTCTTTTATTAGCCTATCACTCACATTAGATTAACGTGGCATTTTTAGGAACTTCAAGATATAATATTTATGGGCATTGCTAGTATTTGGCACATTACCTATTAATAGAAATGTGTTACTCAAGAACTTTCGAAACTCATACTAATAATACCCTTATCAATTAAAATGTAGTATCAGTTCCCTTTGATAGCGAAAGCTTGTTGAAGTTTAACCCTGAAACCTAAGCTAAAATTTACAGGGTTTTTTTTTACTTCTAGAAGATTACCTCGAACTTCGATGTTATGCATTCATATTAATTTTTTTATCTCGTTCTTTTGCTTGACGAAAATAGTTCGAGAACAGCTCAAAGACTGACATGTTAGATTTTAAAACTCGAAACCTATTAAACAATCTAAAATAAGCTGAGTTAGCTTAGTATGTATCTGAGATTTTTCCCTACCAAAAATTTCTTTTTGTCTGAAATGAAATTGATTAAATTATCCACGCCATGTGCCATGGTAATGTGTGAGAGGAATAATCGTAACCACAGCTTAATGGTTACCATCATTCCTCCCACCTTCGATTGAAATGGGATGGTTACAACACAGAGTCGGCTATTTGAAGATCCTGTGTTGGATCGTGGACGGGACTGCAGAAACTTTGTTTCTTTTTCAGGAGACTGTTTGCTTTCACAGACCTTTTACTTCCAAACCCCTAATTTTCTGTATATGCAGAACAACATTACAAACGTCCTTCATTTCTATCCAAAAGTCAAAATGGAGCTATTTAGCAACAGCCCATCACTGACACAATTCTTACCAGATCATGACTCTTTCTTGGCTGTTTCAAACTGTTCGGGGAAAAAACATCAGATCAGTGCCAATGTGGAGAAGAAAGCATTATATCAATGGTAGGGAATAGCATATTGAAACATCGAGTGCTTCGAACTGGGTAGCATGAGTAGAAATCACAAAGACAAATACACTATTAAATTACGGTGATATGATAAGCGATTCCACCACTTGAATTGTGCCCCTTACTTTCATCTCAAGAGATAGATTAATGTGTCAAAAAATGTGCATAACTATAAATCATCTCATACATTTCGCTCTTGAAAATGAATAAAATAAAGAATGAATAAATAAAGAATAAATAATAAATAAATGAATTAATAAAGAATGAATAAATAATAAATAAAGAATGAATAAGTTTCTTAAAACTAAATATATATATATATACAGTATGTGGTGCATATATATATATATATATATATATAATTGAAAAAGAAAATGTAAAGCTAACTGGTAATTAGACGTAAGACCTATCTGGTCTCAAAAACTTTTGCGCATAATGCTGCAAAAAGATTTGAAAGAATAGTAGTAGGTAGGAACATTTTAATTTTTATGTATAGGCATATTATATATTGGCAATTTTTAATTTTAATTTTTATGTATTGGCATTTTATATATTGACATTTATAATCCATGTTTTTTGTAACTTCCTTATATATATATATTTTTTTCCGTCGACCTATTTTTCATGTGAGTTAACTTTTCACATTCACAACGGTCAGATTCATTAATTTTTTTCGTGCATTAGCAAGTCTTCCAGCACTAAAATTTGGCAGTTTTATCGCGCTTATGCAGTTTTTCCAGTTTTTCCAGACAAATTTCTTATTGTTTATGTAGTACTATGTTACAACATTTCGTGGAGCTACAGCTCCTGGTAACGTTTTAGCAAGGTTGCTGCAATGTTCCTACCTACTATATATATATATATATGCACCACATACTGTTATTAAAAATTGTGAAAGCACTTTCTTAGTACTTACCTAGACTACATCATAAGTAGTTATTCATATCTAAATAATCTAACTTTGTAAATATAATATTTATATGTGTGTATATGCGTACCGTATGTACTTCTAATGTTCACCTAATGTTATTGTAGTGTTCTAATGTAATTTTTTACCAGATACAGAACACATCCTCCGGGTTCGCAACCATCCTTGTACGTTAACACCAAGGCAAAGACCTACTCCGTCAGCGTTCTGTTCTATAGAAGCCGAGGAAAATAGTTACTGCCAGCTCGTTACCAAACTTGGATTGGTCGGCTGGGGCTACGTCTTGAACTGGCCTTTCCCGTATTGTTTTTAGATGGATTAGAATGTCAAAATAAAGTTTTGACGGTCACTACTAGCGCCTAGTACTATATTAAAATAAAATGTTGCGTCATGTTATGAAAACTATTTTCATAAACAAATACAAATAATGTATACGTGCGGTGAGAAGTTCTTTGACAAGGTTCAGTTCTGTGATCAAAGAAATGGTATAATAAAGATATCATATAAAGTATAACAAAGAAATGGTAAAATAAGAGCAACTTCTTCTCATATCTTAGATATGACTTCATTTTAGAGGATAGCCTTCTCAAGATCTACACTTTCGTGATTTTGGCTATGCTGTTTTTTGTTAAAAGCTTACGCTGTTATCACAGCTTCACTGCATTAATTGTAATTTTTATACATCTGTAATTTACATTCTGCCAGTTAGTTTGCTTATCTTTCTACGTTTTCATTTTGTTTGCCTGTATGTATTATACCATTTTGTGCATCATATGCCTTTACATCATGTTCCAATAACATACTGTGGTAGTTGTTCCTCCCAGAAATCTTTTTTTACTTAACTTAAGATAGCCCAAGCTCGGCTTACAGACTGATTTCTATCACTGAGTTGATGAAACAGTGGTAGCAGTGTGGAAAATTTTCACAAATTTTTCCTATAGATGCATATCAATACTCCGTAAATTCGAAGTAAGTGTCAAGTTTTTATGATGTCCAGTTACTAATATTGTTTTATTTGAGTGAGTTATTCATGGGTAATTATATTAATTTCACAGACATACAGTTTCTTTTAAAATGAAGTTTGAGTTTGAACCAATGTCATGTGGATTGGTTCAAACTCAAACTTAATTTATTTTCAAACTTAATTAAATTTTTTAATTTTATTTAAATTTAAATTTTTAAATTAATTTTTTTTTAATTTTTAAATTTTAAACTAAAACTTCATTTTAAAATTTAGTGGAAGCAGTAATATTTTTCCAATGACTGTTGAGATGCTTGACCTCATTGACAAGTTCATTTTAATATTCAAATTTAATAAGCAATATACTTTAATGCAATGTCGAAGTTATTAATATTAACTTTATGCTTAAAAATCATTTCCACCAGTTTAAATATTTTTGTAATTTAAATAATACTTATGAAGATACATACTTTGATAAGAAATATTCTATGTTACTTTCAGCCTTCACTCAGATGAATCATATAAACATAAATATTAAAGAAATGAAAATCATGGACATGAATTAAACTTCACAAACACAAATAAAATACAGTGATGGATGTGGGCGAATTTTAAGTGGATGTAAATGTAGAAATGATATTTTTTTCATTCATTAAAGCTTTATTTGGCATTTTATAGTTACTAGTAGTCTACGTAATTGTCTCTGCCATTTCTGTGAAAAATAATTATCATTTTCTTCACATAGGTTTCTGTATTTTGAAAACCCATTTCATGTAGATTTTTAAAACATCTATTGCGCGTATGAAACTGCACAACAAAACTTTATGTATGTGCTTACATTTAAAAATCTCACTCATAAAGAAATTATTTATAAACGTAAAATGACCTTAAAACATTAGGAATACAATTACAAATATTTATGGAGAAACACTAAGCATGGCAAGAAATAAATTCTTTGAAGAAAACATTCTAAATTCAAGCAAATATCGGAATTTACTTACCAATACTTTGTGGCGCCCGTCTTTCTAGAAACTTCATACATTCGCACATTAATATAAATTTATTATCTTTCACATTAATAATTAGAATTCACTCTGATAAACCTATCGTATTAATACAAAACAGGTGTTTTAATTGCATAATGTAATAAAACAAGGAATTATTATATTTTCTTCGCATTTTCTGTAATTATCCTTGGGAATTTACCTCATCCCTTAGCAATTCTTTCTACATAATGAAGCATCATCAATAAAAAAGTTATTGAGAAACTCCTGCCCACGCGTCAAATTACCAAGAAGCAAATCGGATTCAATCACTCAAGATCTAAATTACAGACAGGAAAAAAAAAGAAAGCAGTGGAGAAATCTCGAAATTTAATCCTGCTCAGATTTATTAAGCGGAAAGCGATTAAGAATATAAACCAACAAAATAGCGAACAGAGAAGAGCGTTGTGACACTTACAAGGAGCACTCAGAGGCCTTCGAAATTCGATCCACTCCCATGTACAGATTGCGACATCTTCGGAACAAAGCTGTTCAGAACTGGAGGCGGAAAAACGAAAGAGCACTTAAGTTTCATTTAGAGAGCATTTGAGTTTGAGTCGCGGACAACTTGTGAGAGCGCAAGAAACTGAAGAGTTGGAAATTTGAAATGAAATGCGCTGGTCGGGAGGCGCAGCGCATGCGCAGCTCCAGCCGCAATTCTTTACTGTTGTTATTTTTATTATTGTTACATCGATGATGGATGGATGATTTCCGTCTTTCTTGCTCCTACCAAAAAACTATACAAGTATTGCTTACCCTCTTAAACAAATGCGAGATATGCTGGTACCAGGGTCTAATATTTCAGTTTTTGATTACAAATACTTTGTACCAAACACCATCCATAAATGGATATTTAAGATCCTCAATCTTAACTTGCTGGACAAAAAATTCTAATACCATTCTGCTTTCGAGGCGTTATTAAACAGCTTTGGACAATATACGCAATTAATTACTATTTCACTAAAATATATAACGGTTTTAAAAGGGAGAAATGTGTTAATCGTGTATGAAAACATTATTGCAGTGAACTGGTAATGTTCATAGTAGAAAAAAATTATAAAGGAGAAGAAAAGAGAGAAAAATAGTTTACAAGCAGTTTTCCTTTACATCCTACTTGAAATACGACTTTTGGAAGCAGCCATAAATTCCAAAATCCCAGCATGATTGTTTTAGAAAATAGATTAAATATTATTCTAAAACAGTAATAAGAACGAGGATGTACTAAAGTATGAAAAGCTTTCAAATGACTTAAACAAAGTTAGCATCACTAGTTTGTTTCGCAGATAAAAAATATTCAGCAGTTTTGTTCTTTGACAGTTTTTACTCAGCCACAGGACTTTACCTTTCTATCCATTAAAAACTCATCTTTATAAATTGCTCATTTATTTGGGTTGAATAAATTGTGAAATTTAGAAAAATGAGAGGGAAAATGCTGATGTTCAAAAAATTACAAAGAATACTTTCCCTCCCTAAATGTCCGGATACTTGCCTTCCAAGCAATTTTCAAGAATGGCTGAACCCTTCAGCCATTTAGCAATGTCATCACCATGAGTACTATGCAATGTATACGTAAGAGATAAACCGGTATTCCACAAAACAATTACGTCTTACCCGGTAGGCGAAAGCGCATTTTCTTGAAAATCTGTACTACACAGGGCGATGCAATCAACATTAAAAGCTATAAGGTATTTTTCCCGCCTTCTTAGCATGCTTTCGTGGTGTAGTGGTCAGCATGATTGACGCGAATTCGAGAGCTCCGTGGTTCGAGTCCTAGCGAGGGCATTGCTCCTTTTTCATCTTTCTCCTGCTTCAGAATTACCTAATGCCTCTACAAAGATAATAAAAATTACTGTAGTAATTAATAATTTAATAAAATTCTCGTTAGAGATCAAATCTTATCCATTTACATGAGTAATTTATGTTAAGAATATAAAGAAAAGCAATAAACTAAATGATTATAAGTTAAACAACTCTTCATTTAAATTGAGTTACGCTCTAGTAGATTAAAAATCAATGAATGGATAAAATTAAACTTACTAAATGTAGGAATAAATTAAAGTATTTAATTTGAACTTTTCCTCAACTAAGGCAAAAAGGCCGAGTGATCAAAATGTGAAGACACTTTAATACATATAAAAATTAGACATAAATTAAAAGGGAAAATTAGGTTTCGAGAGAAAAAAGAATAAGCTGCCGTAGCAATTAACCAAATATAGAACTTACATCTCTTCAAAGTTAAATCCCCAATAAAAAGATGTTCATTCTGTTTGCAACTTAAAATACATCTTATTTCCAATTTGTTTCCATTTTGATTCAGGTATGCCACAAAGAATGATCAAAATCGAAACTAATCCGTTAAAACGCTATCTCGTAGTACTAGTTTACTTATTTTTATCGTGACACTGCGATCCCGCCCGAATTTATAGAGGCGTTTGCATGGCAGTGCCATATACGTTTGTTTACATACTTGTTTTAATCGGGTCCTTTGCCTTGTGAACAGAGAACTTCTTTAACTCCTTCGAAATCTGAAGCTTTTCCTGAAACATAAAAGTTCATTTACAAACTATTAATATAAGAATAAATGATGTAAAATTCTTATAACAAGGGTTGATACTTGAAAACGAAATTGAGTAAAAGGTTTATGTCCTGACTTAACCATTTCAGAAATATTACAGAAATAAGCAGTGAATTTCGTCTAAAACATTCATCAAATTTTAATAAAGCAAACTGAAACGTTTTAGGGCTGTACAACAAGAAATAACGCCGGTGTAGAAGATTTTCTTTTGTGCTAATGCTATAGTTTGAGTACTTGAGTAAATCAGTTAATATATCCAGTCAACTCCGAATTATGAATAAATCAACTTTAACACATTAGGTATTACCATCCACTTAACAAATGATCGCAGGAACAATAAATTCATCAAGGCAACAATATTTTACCAACCCTTTCCGAAAAAGCATCATCCATTTTCAAAATTCAACACTGACGTCGCTTTTATAGATAAGCTCAATGTAGAGAAAGTATGGCATGGGTCCCTTTCTTCAAGAAGGAAAAATATCTCGCTTTCCAGGTATTTTCACACAGGTCCATTAAAACTTAATTGCCATCTTTCCAACAAAACGAGTGTGAGACAGGAAGACTCAGACTGACGCTAAACTCCTGTAATTAAATAAAATACACCGAACAAATATGTTAATATAATATCTTCGAAATAACTGTTGAAAGTAGATCTGGATAATTTATATTTTAATATACGCGCTCATTATTTTAATATTTGATACAGCTTACTTCTTAGGCTTTAGTTCGCTGTGTTGCCATTTAAATTTATGAACCATGATATCGAAATTATGTAAATGTAAAGAATCCATACACCTGCACCTTGGTCGTCTTAACGCATGGGGCCGCTGGGCACTTGCCCGATAGCCCCACGAGCATAGGGGTCTCGTGTTAATCCATTTACCTTTAATTTACGTTTCATGTCTATGAGAGGTTGTCGTAGAGGTACCTGAACACCGGTTAACCCCAGCGGCCCATAATACTGTTAAGACGGTACTTGACCTCCACGTGTGGTCTCATGATAGCATGGACAATCAATGGTTTTATTATAGATCGTCTGTGGTGAAGGACGCAGTAGTATAAATATCAATTTTCATGTCCTATAGGCTACTCACTTTAATTGCATATCGCCCCAGAAAAAAGCATAAAGTGAGACAATTTCTGTTGATTGCACAGAATAAGCATGTGATTGGCTTACTTGACTACAGCAAAGTTTTTCGTGTTTTACCCACCCTGACGTTGGTTAGTCCATAGCTGTCATTAAAAAAATGGATACTAAACAATCCCGAAGCCAGTCCAAGGTCTTCAATATCCTGTTCATCGCAATGTCTTCAGATGCGTGGAACTTTGGATTTTCTCCAGGCCTCTGAAAAGTTTCTGAATGAAAGTTTTATAATCTTCTGAATGTCTGAAATATTCAAACTTGACATTCGTCGGCATCCCGTTTTTTTTTTAAATTTTCTTAAATCTAAGAATATCCACTTTGTATACCTTACAATTTCTGACAGTTTTAAGTTCGGTTTCGTAGATGTTGCTTAGACAAATGCAATATAAATCGTACACTTATTAAACTGTGTACAGATCATTAGATATTTCAGAAAGGAAAATATGAAAAATTAAATATGTTCCGTTCGAAACACGGATCCTCTGTTTGCTAGCGGGGACGCATATAAACGTTTCGTACCGCTACCCGCGCATAGGGAAAAATTCCATCCTTACTATTGGATATGGCTTCCGATGACATCATTTGTTCTATGCTTGGGAACACCTTCATTTTTCTTGTTTGCATTTTGATAGCAGTATAAGAAAGCCTATTATCGTTAATGAATTGATATGTATTAATGTTCTATGATTTCTTACGAAACTGCTTCTCGGTGAATTCAATATAAAAAGACGCAGTTTTCTTTCTTTAAGAAATTTATTACAGTTTCTTCCAGTAAGATAATTCGGTAAATGTGTATTAATGTTACATTTAGAAGTTTCCAGTAAATGAATTCTTGAGGATTTTCAACCTTACATATTAATAGTGATAGCATTATTTTTCCGTTATTCCATGTCCATTATATATTCATTCTGTGCAGATGCGAAACGTTGAAAGCATGAGACAAATCAGTTTTCGCAAATAGCAAAAAAGGTTGGAGCTAATATAATACACATTAAGTTCACGATATTTGTAGTCAGTCTAAGAAAGGCACCTACTAAAGATTTGGAAGAGAGAACTAGATACGTTTCTTTCAGTCTTTTAATATATTGTACAACTTTTAGTACGTGACATTTCTGTAGCTTTGTATAAAAGTAGTGTTTACCAGAGAAGATTGTTTCTTTTTTATGCATTTGCATTATATTCAGCGAAATGCATTGTTGTCAGCGAAATGTATTGTATTTAGTGAAATGTATTTCGACTTTTAAGGGAAAGGGATGATCAGAAACTACCATAGATGAAAATACTTAATAATATAGTGCGCAAGTTAATAACTAGCTATAGGTTTGTGTTTAAGAAGTTGCAAGTAATAAAATATTCCAGATGTTAATTCTGTTTAAATTAATGCTGTAATAACTGCTTAATTAAAGTTAGAAGCCCCAAACTCTTGAAATGTTATTGTTTTATGTTATGTTATGCTATTTCATTCCTTCCCAATTATTATATTACTTATTTTTTTAGTAAAAATTACTTTATTTCGCTATTTTGCAACAAAACCTGATAAAAGCAGTATCATGAGGGGAATATTTTTATTGGTCATTAGCAAGTATTAATTAGGTCACATAAAAGCGTTGCATACTTTAGTAATGAAAG